GGTTAGATCTCCTGAGAATGGGAGGAAACCAAGGAGGAGAGATGTTCACCGACAGGCAGAGCATTGCTATCATTGCTGTTAGTTGCCTAAGAGTTGATTCCCACTCCCTCTCAAATACACCCTGCCAAGAGAGCAAGAGGTAGAAATGGGTTGGCTGTGTGAGAGACCCTCTGGGAAATCTCTATGACAAAGCCAGATGGGAAGGTGTATCTCTGATGATCAAAAGGGCTAGAAGATGTAGCAATGTCAATGGGATCACTAGGAACATATATTCAAAAACCAAACTCACTGCTGTCCAGACAGATACAACTCATAGCGACCCCTCTTTGGGTTTCAGAGGCGGTATTACTACAGAAGTAGAAGAAGATTGGGCAATCTACTTCCATAGTGATACCACGTTGGTAACCCAAGGAGGGGTCGCTAGGAACATAGGACCAGGATTTTCTCCTGTCCCCCAGAATACTTGATTTTAGACTTCATATTAACTCTGAGTTAGGTTCTTGTGTTGGATTAAATTTAGTTTGCAGAAATAGAGGGAAACATTATTCCCTTCACCTCTGACTTACTGCAAAAGAAATAAAATAATAAATTAAGTTAAAAATTAAAAATAAAAAGGTAAAATATTTTTTTAGGTATTACTGGAGACAAGGTCCCAATGTCCAGCATGGGTGGAGAAGATTTCCATCTGTAGTAAGGCTGGAAGGACGTCTGAATGTGACTGGGTGGACCTTACATCACATGTATTTTCCTGATGCTGATTTCAAAGGTAACATTCATTTGTGTATTGATATGTTGGTTATAAAGCCAATCTCATGACTTCATAGTTATACTTCATATAATATAGAGATACCAATTAATTCAATGAAAAGTTTTTATTATTAATGTTCATTTGATTAATTATGTAACTAAAGGAATTATATATAGTAATTGGGGGACAGTAACAAGTGGTGCAGGGAGTTCCTGAGTGGCACAAATGTTCAAGTGCTCAACTGCCAACCAAAAGGTTGGCTGTGGAACCCATCGAGAAAAGTCACAACCTTGAAAAACATGTGGAACTGCTCTACTCTGTAAGACATGGGGTTTCCATGAGTTAGAATGGACTTGATGGCAACATTTTATTTATTTATTTTGTTAAAGGTGCTGTGGGTGCTGAATAACTCTGGAAAAGGGCAATAATGTCGGGATATGAACATTAACCCACTGCCATTGAGTCTATTCATAGTGACCCCGTTAGGTTTCCAAGGCAATAAATCTTTACAAGTAGATGTCTCACTTTCTTCCCATGGAGTGGCTTATGGGTTTGAACTGCTTACCTTTATGGTTAGTAGTAGCCCAATGCCTTAATCATAGCACTACCAGTGCTCCTTGAAGGTAAACATTAACAGAATCTAATATGATTTTGATATAATCTCTGTCATATTTCAATATTCTGCACTAACTTCTTCCCAAGGATTTGTGAAAGTAAGGAATTTGTGCCTACAAAGTCCTGAAATATTGACTCATTTATCCTGTGCCTGGAACCACATGAGAGGTTTAATGGTGATTTACCAGGATAGACCTCTATTAAAAAGTGAGAATAATTCTCTTTTTTGTTCACACACAATGCCAGAGGAGTCACTGGGAAAAATCTAATAAAGCTACATTGCTTCTGAACACTGCATTGGCTATTTTTCCAGAACCAAAACCACCTTCTCTGTCTCAAAGATATAGTTACAGTCATTTGAGAAGCACAATTGCTGATTTCTCATTGTAACCACGTAATTCCCACCATGCATTATTGAACTGACCAAATATTGTTTTTCTTATTTTCTTTTATAACAAATATTCATCATATTTCTGTTAAATAATTGTTAGCATACATTGAAAGTTAACTGTCCATGTCATTGGTTTAGGCATTTAACATGGATTGTCTCATTTATTTTTCACACTAATCATAATGGGCATGGAAAGACATTTTCCTCTCTGTTTTAGACATGAGACATAAAGAAATTGGGCAACTTGCCCAAGGTAGTTGGTAAACTAGAGCTGAGATTTGGAATCATATTTGTTTTGCTTCAGAGGCCAAGCTTTAAATACCACATTCTCCTTGTCAGCCCCCAATCCCACTAACTGCCCAGTTACCGTGAATCACATTATTCTATTTTTAATTCTTTTATAACTTTCTGCTTTTGTTTGATTAAACCTCTCCTCTCACCCACCTTGGCCTCCTCCACTAGAATGCAAACCATAGAGCAGGGACCTGTTTATCTAGTTCATTGCTATATCACAGATCCTAGAATAGTGTCGTGTACCATATAAGCACCAGTACATGTTTGTTGAATAAAACACTCAGCATGGTGCACATTTCTGCCTTCTCTTGCACCCAGGCTGAAGAATTGACAGTCCTGCATTGACAATTAAGAAAAATATGGAAAGTGCCATAGAGTTAGGAAGATTACCAAGGTGGTCACAGTGGCTTCACCAATAAATTGCTATTTCCCCTGTGTCTTGAGGATGGGGCAATCTACTTCCATAGTGATACTGCCTTGGAAATCCAAGGAGGGGTTGCTATGAGTTGGGTCTGACTGGACAGCACATAAAAAGAACAACAACATTGTCAAGAAAAGGAAGGTGCAAAGAGGGCAGGGGGTGTGTGTAAACAATTTCAGAAGCAAGGAGTTCTATTGTGTGGAGAATGATGAAGTCATTGTGTTTATTTCCAGATGAAGAGGAGCACGTACCCAGCCCAGAGGTGTCTTCTCAGAGCTCCAAGCATTCTGAATTGATTGTTATCACAGCCTCTTTACATTCTTTATAATTTTTATTTACTTCTAGTCACCCCTACAGAGCTGTAAAATCTTGAATGCAAAGAACCAAGCTGATCCGGAAATAAGTTCCTTTCAGGCTGAGACTCTGCCTTATTTATCTTTGTCTTCCTCTAGCCTCCCTTTCATGGCATTGCTAATCAGTAGCCCTCAGTAAATGTGTAAAGAATGAATGGATGGATGAATGAATGATATGGCTTGCTAGCATTTCCCTTAACAAGAATTTCTAGTTTTAAGTTGAGGACAGGCTACAAAAACAGTTAATGTAGTCTAGGGGTAGTAATAATGTAAGTAAAGTATCTAGATTCTGAGTAAACCATATTTTGGAACTACAGAGCTAGGAGTGACCTTATGGATGAGGAAACCTAAACTGAAGACGTGAAATGACTTATTCAACATTACATAACAAATGTATGGTTAAAACAGACAGCACCTGAATTTTAGTTCTAATGACTCAGTTAAATTTTCTTTCTACAAATTCTACTATTTTCTGTGCTTGTCAGACCATAACTGCAGTAGACTGTGCAATTCTGAGCTTCATATTTAAAGAAGTACATTAAAAAAGTAGAGTTCGTCCAAGGAAGGATGCTACACATGCTAGAGAAATATGGAAACCATATCATATGAAGAAGAGGGAGGATATTAAGGATGTTTCTCCTGGAGGAGAAAATCCTTGCTGAGGGGCCAGGAGGTGAATGGAAAAATTTAGTATTTTCTTTTTATTTATAGATACTTAAGTCATTATTTCTTTGTTTTAGAAAGAAAAATAAGAATGATGAATATAAACCACAAAGAAGTATATTTCAAATTAATATAAGGAAGAATTGCACAAAATTAGAATTTTCCAAGAATAAATAGACTTTAATTCCAAATTATAAGAAATATGCAAGTAAAGACTCACACTCGACTGTGAGTTCTTTTAGTGTAACGCTAAAATGCAACACACTACCGTGGAGTCCGATCTGACTCATAGCAACCCCTCCTTGGATTTCCGAGGCAGCATCATGATGGAAGTAGATTGCCCAACCATACTTTATTTGTATTTCTCCAGAATCTTGATTAGTCCCTGACACGTAGTATATGCTCATTTAAGATTTGCTGAATGCATCTTTTAAAAGGGATTCCTTCATGGGGTGGGTGAGAATGGAGGTGAATAAGACTAAATGATATTACTAACTCTAGGGACTTTTGCAAAACTAAGATTATATGATCCTTTGATAAAAATTCATGCAACTTAATACATTAATAAGTAATGAAGCATTAATTTGCATGAATTTTTATCAAAGCATCATTAATATGTAATGAAGCATTAATTTGCATGAATTTTTAATCAAAGGATCATTAATATGTAATGAAGCAGAAGCTCTGGTAGCATAGTGCCTAAGGCCCTTGACTGCTAACCAGAAGGCTGGTGGTTCAAACCCACTAGCTACTCCTTGGAAGCAAGACTGGGAAATCTACTTCCATAGTGATACTGCCTAGGCAACCCAAGGAGAGGTCGCTATGAGTCGGGTCGGACTCGATAGCACATAACAACAACAACAACAATGTAATGAAGCAAGTCATTTTATAATCTCACAAGTAAAAGCCAGCGGAGTTGTGTCTTTCTTTTAAACTCTGTGAAGCTTGGTGAGGTTGCATTTTTGCTCTTCTTTTAGAAGGATGAACAATTGTGTACCACTACTGTTGTCCTCAGAAGGAAGGTTGGGCAATCCTACTTCCCTAGTGATACTGCCTCGGAAACCCAAGGAGGGGTCGCTATGAGTCGGGGCCGACTCGACGGCACATAACAACAAACAACAACACTGTTGTCTCACAAAGGAGAGCAGAGCTGGTCACATCTCTACACCTGTTAACCAAATTAAAATCCCATGCAAAAATTTGAACAAAATTTGTCTTGTACAAGTAGTATAGGACCAATTCATAGAAACACCTGAGTAATGATTATGCCAATAAATTGACACTTTTCAAAGTGATGACTAACCTAGTAAGCCAGGATTTTCACAGAGTCCTAAATCTTACTTAGATTGTCACCTTTATGTCTGTTTTAACAAATATCTTAAATATTACTTCAGGAAGCTTACTTTTCACTGAATATTTAATATTCAGAATGTGTTGATTTTATATTCGTGCCTTATTGTTACCATTTGTTTTTGGATACAGCCGTGCAGTTCCTTTTAGTGTATGCAGAGGTCATTTGAAGGAGACAAAGAAAACTTTATTTAGATTTGCTGTATTAGCCATGAAAAGAAACGCAGACGTAAATGATAATAAGGCAATTATTTCATCTGTTATTTCCACCTTATTGTTTCATCTAGTATTTGAAATTTTCACAGTTTTTTTTTTTTTTTTTAATAAACAAAGTGATTAAATCTATTTGTATGCTTTGAACAAATAAAAATCCAAACCAACTTCCCACTAAGGTTTTTCCAATGCTGTGGGATGAATTTCCTTTCTTATCTCATCATATAAATATGCTGAAAACAAGTTTCTCTCTTTTAATGAAATATTAGCATCATCTTAGTTTCATCTTAAGTAGTGGTCCCATCTTAACCATAAAGCTATACATGAAGTATTTTAGTTGTGATCCTAACTTCTTTCCAAAGAACCATATACTATAAACATAGCAAAGTGCTTCTAAGAATTCATGATTTTGATGTTTCAAAATTAATGACTTTATTAAATTTTTCCTCTGGTTGTTAATTTCACTCTCATAGATGGAATAAATTTTGCCACTCTGAGATGTACCTTGCTCAAGGACCCTTTGGATATATTTTCTTTACTGGGAGATTCTAAACTACTTCCCAAATAAAAACCAATATCTTCTTTTCCTCTCCTTTATGAGTTATAAAACACTCCCACCCCCCTTCTGCTTTGATTTAATTTATATGCCAGAGAATTTTCCGCTCTGGGGATGAAAATGGAAGACTAGGGAAGAAAGTTGATGAAATAGAGATGATTTAAAGATCTGAAATATTTTATCCTTACTCAATATAAAGTAAATTATTTTTTCTCTTTGCCAATAACCATCATTTCCCTTGATCTTGGAATCACTCAAAACCTAGCCAGTGAATCCTGTATAAACTAATGCTCCATCTCCAGATATGGGGAAAGATGAAATACCGGCACCTGTACAGATTGTACTAGCGCGATTATATTCACAGCTATGAGATACCGCAAATTTAAGAATGCCATTTTTTTCTCATCACTGAGTATTTATTATATATAACAAATACATGGGAAAGAAAAAAACTATATTGTGTGATATAAATAGTTTATTTACATTACAGAAAAACATCAGGACAATGTATACTATTTCAAATATATCCATACATAATCAAATATAGCTGTAGTACATGTTTTCATTGGTGTAGATTACCACAAATGCAAGGCAACATGTGTAGATCTCTTGTCTTATTCTTTTGTCTATAATACTGTATCGCGTAGTCCAAGCTCTCGGTCGTCTGGCCACTGTGGAAACATGCTCCCTTTAGATTAACCTCGTGGACGCTCTTGTTGTGTTGTCTGAACTGTAGTGTCCTGTATTTTGCTTCTGTCTGTGAATTCTGTTGCTTCTGGGGCATTTCCTAGAAGGTTGGAAAGTTTACAAATTTTAGTCCAGTGTCACTACCTAAAGTTTGATCCTTTCAGAGTGAAGCTGTAGATGAAGTAAACTATTAAAATATTCAGAACTCATTAGTAGTAGAAGCTGGGATTTTGGGAGAAATTATGTTTCTGCTTCTCCTTGCAGGCGTGGTTAAGCACCTGTTGAGGAGAATGGGAGAAGAGCGGCACAAGTTGAGAAGGAGCCCACTGACCTTGTCCACCACTGCTTACTCACCAAGCACAAAGAATGACTCAGCTCAGTGCAGTCGAGCGTCGTAGGCTCATCTAATCTCACTTTAAAGGTCTCCAACAATTTTATATTTTAAATGTCTTAAGGATAAATGTTATATTGCCATTTCAGTATTACAAGTTTAAATGCTATCAAACTAGAGAATGAGCCAATTGTTAATATCTGAGATGTAATGGGGAAGGGATATTGTTTTTTGTTCAGCCTTGCATCATTTTTATATATTAATGCTATAAGTTAGAGATATAAATTGGTACCAATTATTTAGCTTCTATTAAAAGCTAAGATTCAGTCAAATTATCTGAAAAGCTCTGAGATGGCATTTTTTTCTCTTGCAATAAAAGAGTGCTTTGACTATGTAAACAAGAACACTATAAATTCACATAAAATCGTATTACGAGCTGTGAGTTACGAGAAAACTGTGTGTGTGTGTGACTAAAGATTTTTTGTATTTTTGTTTGCTTTCTGGTAGAGCTGTCAAAATAAACATGGAACTGGAAATCACATTAAAAGATCAGCAATCCAGTTTCTCAACAGGACAACTCTTTTCATCCCAGAACATGTCTTTACATGTTCATATTTTTTTGTGACACACATCGTGTTTGGGAGCAGGATCTGTGCTTGATTAGATAAGTGAAGAACAAGAAGAGGAGGACGGAATTAGAAAAAAAGAAAGTAGGAAGAGGAAAGAAAGTAAAGAGGGCTAGATACGAGCAGAGAATGGGTGAGAGGAGATTAAAGGCACATTAAAGAGCACGAGAGGGCCTCTGCTTGGTGTTATTTTTGTAAATCTCTGTGCAACTGGATATTTTAGAACAGTCCTTGAAGGATATCTGTACCCAGGTCACCAGGAAACTAGAATTTCCTGAGGAAAAGGGGAGAAAAACAACTTCAATTTTCTCAGTTGGAAAATTACGATTTTTGAGCAGAATGTTGTTAAGTAAATGAAAAGAATCTACATTGGTTGTTGGTGTGGTTTATTGATTAAAACAACTTCTGGAAAAGCTGTGGAAGGCTTGGAGGTGCTAAGTAAGATTTTAAAAATGCATCATGATAATGCTAATTTAATTCATATGCTATTCTTCTTCCTTAAAAGATTATAGGAGGTATATAAATTTAATATGGAAAATTAAAAAGGCCATATGCTTTGAAGAAATGGCTTATTCATTCTACTTTGGAGTCTAGTTTAGTAGTTGTAAGCATCAGCTGTATAAAATCATGACCAGCCAAGAGGCAGGATGAACAGTGGTTAAATGCACAGGCTCCGGCAGGCAATTTTGCCCTCGCTGCTCAGCAACTAGGCAATTTGCTAACTTCTATCTTAGGCTTCCTCTCTTGATATGGGGACGGTTGTAGCTCTTCATAATGTATTACATAACACGTTAAATACACATGAGAGAGGGACTCACACCCACACACACACATTTCTAGTGTGGTAAAGATGGAAATGGAGTACTTGGGTAGTACAAATGTTAAACACACTCAGATGCTAACTGATAGGTTAGAGGTCCGTGTTTAACCACAGGTACCTCAGAAAAATGGTGTGGCAGTCTACTTCTGAAAACTCAGTCACTGAAAACTTTACAGAACACAGTTCTACTCAGACACATAGGGGGTCACCAGGAGTTGTGATCAACAACAACTGGTCAGAATGGAAATGTGATTAATGGATGGAAATGTGATTAATGATAGAAGTGAAAACATCGGCTAATATATTTTAAAGTTTTGCATTTTTTTCACATTTGAAGAAGCAATCCTATTGTTTTGAGATTAAATCCATTAAATGTTGTTGTTGTTGTTATTTGCCATCTAGTCGGCCTCGACTCATAGCGACCCCTCCTTGGGTTTCCGAAGCAGTATCACTACGGAAGTAGGAATGCCCAACCTTCCTTCTGAGGAGTGGCTGGTGGGTTTGAACCGCCAGCTTTCTGGTTAGCAGTCAAGTGCCTTAGGCACTATGCTACCAGAGCTCCTAAATCCATTAAATATGAATTTCATTTTTTTCACGTGCCAATATTCTCTAGATATTAGGAAACTCAAGACCCATAGAGTAATGTGGGGCACTTTCTTGTGTTTTAGATTTTGTTTTTTATCATTTTGTTTAATGTATCTGGTTGCTTGAGTTATCTTTGTGTTCCCCAGAATCTATTTTAATGAAATCCATTGACTCACTTGGCATCTGAACGTGAGAGTTGAGTTGATGAACTCAACTTAGCTTAGAGCAGCACAAAGCTCCAGTCAATGATCTTCCCTTAAGCCTTTGGGCCAGGCAGGATTTATGAACCATATTTTGTCTTTTTCAAGAGCAAATGCCACACTTGTCCTTAAAGAAGATAGTGCAATACAGATACTGAGATATATTATGGCCTTTATTTTCTAAAGAAATGATACTTTCTTTTATTTTCTTGTCTTTTGAAAATAATTTTTTCAGGGAAGTATTCTGATTTACTGTACAGCTGTACAATCGAATGAAGTCTAAATGAGTTCTGACTGGTGAATTTGGGAAAAACCTTGAAAAACTTCCTTGGAACTTTTAGACAGAGAGGAAAATCAGATCTGAAAGAAATACCTTCAGTAACTTTTCTGATGACACATGACATAAATAGCATCTATTTGATTTAGAATCCAATTCTTTGTTGCTGTGGTCTGTATGCTAATGAATTTTAGTAAATGTCTGTCCTTACTCCTTAACTATAAGCCCAATATCAGACTCCACTGATAGTTCAGGGTCTCTTCTCTCGTTGAAACTTGGTGACATTTCCGATCTCTCTCAACCTAATTCTCCAGGAAACAGTAACTGATTGATTGATTGGACTAGGCATTTGATATAAAATCTTGTGATATTTGCTGCATGTTTTCATATATCCAAGATTTTCACTCACTAGAACAAACTTTTTCACTACAACTATTTCTTGTATTTCATGATTAAAAGCTATTTTGTAATCTTCACTTAGGACAAAAGATGTATTTAGCAGATCTGTTGAAAATTATTATACCTGAAAGTTATACTTAGAAATATAAAAGCCATGAATGGAACATGGAATTTAATACTTTCCTAGGCCTTGTTTAAAATCTATCCTGACTTCATTTGCAGTAAGTATTTAGAAAGTAAGAAAGGAAACTGATCATTTTAATAGTCTGTTAGTAGTCTGAATGAAGGCTGACCTTTCATAGTTAAAAGAGAAAAGCATATTTAAACAAAGGTTACAATTATACATTATGGAAAATAATGACCTTTGTTAGAATATAAATAATCCCCATCATAATGCAAAAATAATGAAAATAATTTGTACCACTCCAACATAAAAATCACTATCTTTCAATTTGTCTATTCAAATGCTTTTAGGATGAGGAAACAAGACTCCCAGAGAATTCATGGTTGCAGAGCCCATGAAGGGACTCATAGTCAGAGTGATCTCATTAAAACAATGAAGAATAACATAGCCCCTTATTTGGATGGTCACTGAATGAAGCATAACTTATCCCCTACTTAGATGGTCTTGTATACAGTTACGGACCTTGTGATGCAGAGGACCACCACACAGATGACAGCAATCTGAATCGTTCCAATCACAGCTGCAATTAAGACGTACTGAAATCTCACAGGACCGGGAACAACATACAGAACACTGTAGTCCTTTTTTTCACAGTGTTGTCCAGTATAACCAGCATCACACCTGGAAGAAAATATAACATCCAGTTACCAGTAGCTGCTGGATTCATTTCTAAAGGTGGCCAAAAAGTGCTGATCTTCATCAGGAAATTAAGATTTTTTTTTTTTTTTTTTAAATCTCCCTCTCTAAAACAATACTGCTTTGTGGATAAGGCACTTAACTATATATTTACAACATGATTCCTTTATATTTTTAATTTGGAAGATACCTGGTTTCTTTTTGTAATTATAATCCTGGATTTTGAAGATAAGAGGATTGGTAAATAATTTTTTTGCCTTCTTTTATTTTTTAATGACAATATTGAAAGACAATAGATATTCTAGAATAATTGTTCTTCCTATATTTTTTTAGGTGAAACTTACATTTATTTTTAAAAACTTGCTTTTTACTCAGCCTAAGTTAAAATGATTGCCTGAGAAAAGTTTGTTTCTGATGATATGGATATAATAACTAGACCTATTTTAAATTTATTTTTTGGATAATACATTGCCTATGCTACTCTCAGAATAAATGTTGAAAATATTGTGACTAGCAGCACATAATAGCCATTTATTTAATTTACTGGTCATAAAGTCATCTGCTGATGTTAGAGAGTTAAATTTTGTTAGACAAAAAAGCACTTATGATATAGGATATATAGTTCTGAAAAAAACAAATAAACAAACATTTGCTATTCATCTCAGAACGAATGTAGTCTCTCATTCACTAACCCCTGCCCAGAAACTAGGCAGACAACCTGCACGTGAAGATTAGCATTTGACCACAAAATGAGAAAACCTCTCTTATGAAAACAATACTAAAGGGACTCAGTTTGTCATTGATTTTGCAAAGTGTTTTGGGACTTCACTTTTAATGCATCATAGCTACATCCTGGGACCTTTCCTCCCTGCAGCAGGAAGGGTTTAATTATGGTGGATCTGCTGAAGAGCAGCAGGAGGGAGCTCTCAGTTACCTTCACTTTCCCTAGCTTCTCTACAAGCCAGATTCTAGTAGATTCAGTGAAGGGAAACATGAAAGGAAGACAGTTCTTGACAAAATGAGAGGGGGAGAGGAAGGCAGAGAGGGATGGAAAGAGAGAAAGGGAGGGGTGGATTGATGGAAAGAGGGAGGAAAAGAGAGAGAGAGGGGAAGGGGTGGGAAGGGAAAAGTGAAGGAAACATGGAAGAGGTAGAAAAGAGTGAGAAAGAGAGACAGAAAGAGAATTCCTTTCATTGCATCACAATCCATTATTTCATCCTACACTACTAATATACTCTAGTCATTGAAATAAAAATACATTTATTTTTGCACTTTGGTTCTTACCATCTCTTAAATAATTCTATTTCAGTCAATAATTCAACAGATATTCTGTTTATTAACTAGATCCAGACAAGCAATTATTAATTTATTTATTTATTTTGGCCTCTCTACTGTGTTTGAGACTGTGACCATACAATGAATAACCCACCTCTCTGTACAAGGTTTGTGGATAAGAGATCCACAGAAAAAAGCAAATGCTTGGTAAATCCAAGAAGGGTGATATTTATTGGAAGATGAGAAGGACATAGGAAAAGATTAACTCTACAAAGCAACTATGTTATCTAATGTACAACAAGCCCTTGTCCATTAATCTAAGAATTATTTATTGACCACTTAATAGATGCCAAGCACTGTTCTAGGTTCAGGCAAAAGAATGGCGAATAATACAGAGAAGTCTGTGCCTTTAAGGAGGTTCTAGTGCACAAGGTATGATTTCAAATTCTACTAGAAGAATATATGTAATGATGTGCTACATAATACTTTAGTGAGTAAGATAGAGCAAGTTTGTCAATTTACTCTGTGTGTGTGTGTGTGTGTGCAGGAGAAGCAGACAATAGATTTGTTTCTGATCATTCATTCAGGCAAAATGCCAACCAATTTTCTTTAAACATATAAAATTTAGTTTCCCCATTTTTTTTTTTTTTTTTTTTGCTTTATGCATTTAAATAGTTAAAGAGTGAAAACTTTACCTGCAAGATGGCTCCTGCATATTGATGGAATGTTCGCACTTCCCGTGCATGCAGAAACCGTTGTAGTGTTCTGGACAAGGTATGTGGTGTTCTCTGGCACTTTCCTCTAATTTGTTAGCATTCTCTGTGAATACAGATAAAAGCAAGCAGTCTTATAAGTACTTTCTCAGCCCAGTAGGATTAAGCAGTACATTAACAAGCAAAGCTACAGTAGGCAAAGATACTTAAAAGGGCAAGAACTGAGAGGCCATGCTTCAGAAGAAAAAGGGAGAAAGAACTGAAAGACAGACATCTTTACAATTGTGTTTAGAGAGGAAACTGCAAAACTGCCCAGTGCTTTTCATGCTCTTATGCAATTTCCTACATCTTTAACATGGTGATGTTTCTGTGAGATGTCAGAAAGCTTTAATTTTCCTTGTGAAGAGATTGTATATTGATCATAAAATAAGAGAAATATCTTATTTTTTGAATTTCAAAGCCCAGTATAATGTCCCTAAGGGTAAATTGTCCCAATATCTTGATACTTTCTCAATGAAGGACCTTAAAAGTTAAAATATGACTGCTCTCAATTGTTAAACAGACATTTTCCAAAATCTAATACAAATTTCAGAAAATATATTCTTTTAGGTATTTTTTTTTTTTCCATCTATGGTGGACATGAATTTTACTAGTGCCCATACATTTTTTTAATTGTTAAAATAAAGCTATTGAAAGAGCAAAAGTTAATCACTTATGTAGATATCTGTAAGTACATATTCAATGCTGTAAGTATATTTTAATGCATAGTATTTAGCCTATGTTAAAAATATTATGTGAAATTTAAACTTAAGAGAAAGTGAAAAAAAAAAAAACCCTTGTGTTCTAAAATGAACACTTTACCTTGTCATTAAGAACAAGTTTTATTTGTTTTCTCAAGCTTCTGTAAAGATATTTAAATATATATTTTTAACCTTTGTTGGTTCAAATGTTTGCTTCATATTTGTAACACTACCTTTAAGTAGTCTTTTTGATTTATTTATATGTTGATTTTACAATAAAAAGTTTTACCATTTTTAAGTCTCACTTATAATCTGAAACTTGGTATTCTTGAAAGATCCTCCCCAATCACATAAGAAATAGGACTTTCCTTGTCTCTGGTCTATATCTTTAAACACCACAGTAATTGGTCATTATGAATTGAAGAATGTGAACAGTTACTATTTTTGTGAAACAGATTATTTCCTATTATTTGTCCACAGGATTAAAAATCAATACCTTTTGTATTAGTGAAAGAGACAAATGGATTATTTATATTTAAGCAGAGTTGTAAAACATCTATACATTTTAAGATATAGGAATCATCATAAAGCATTAACATTTGAAATAAATTTTAAAATATGTTTAGTGCTTTTGTATGCACGGATATATGTCCATTGGGAAGATAGGTAATTTTTCAATTTGTATACCCAGATTAGTGTTATGTGGAATTTACCATGAACATGCTAGAAAGCTTAGAGTGGCCATTAATTTGTCCTTTATCTGTTTCTCTTTAGCTTTGATGGCAGGTGATCCTTCTTTTTTTTTTTTTTGTATTCTAATATTTCATCATTGATATAATTACCACTAAGGTCTCGTGGCATAGTACCTAAGGCATTTGACTGCTAACCAGAAGGCTGGTGGTTCAAATACACCAGCCACTCCTCAGAAGAGCAATCTACTTCCATAGTGATACCACCTCGGAAACCCAAGGAAGGGTCACTATGAGTTGGATCCGCCTTGACAGCAGTGATTAAACTGAATGAATCTTCCATGCAGAAGACTAAGACCAACTATAATTTTCTCATTTCATTTCTTATCCATCCTTTCAGGTTACTTTGAAATTTTGTGACATAGTGTTTTAAGCAGCAAATTAAAGAAAGCTTCAGTAAGCAATACTAAAATTGAAATTGATGAGTTGGGAGAAATTTCTAATATGGAAATATGTGACCAAAATGGAAACAGGGCAACCACAGTATTTAGATACTTGGGATGGCTGTGGTCATTCAAGGGTTCCATAGAGAAGACTTGGCTCATTGTGTGCCAGGGCCAGGGGGCTACAAGCTAGACTGGTCAAACTGTGCCCTTGCTGTTTAAAGGAGACATTAACAGTGGGGTTTGTCAGTTGAAGTAATGAACCAGCACTGATTTTCACTCTTATTTCTGGATCTTCTCCTGTAACTAAATACTCAGTGCCCCTATTTAGTGTTGGTTAGTAACCCTTCAGTGCCTCTGCACACCTGCATACAGGGCAATTTTTTGTAACATCCCCACATTTCAGTTATACATTATGATTTCAGTCATAGTATATCGTAAGCTGATAGTGTTACAGCTATTTTCTTTCTACCAGTTGCAAAACAAATTAAGAATTTTCTATTTTGCACAAAAATGTTCAGCTCAAAATCCTTATTTTAGATTATTTCATTTTTAATTCTGCTCCTCACCCCACACCAACAGTTTTTTTCTGGATATATACCATATACATGGTTACAAACTGAAGTCTATGGCAAAGTGAGCCTTAGCATGTTAAGAGCTAAATATATTCACGAGTTAATTATCCAGCCATGTTGATCATGTGGGAAGGGAACAGTTTCCATCAGGGAAAAAAAAAAAAGTGGATAATTAGTTTATATGAAGCTTGGAGTGCTCTGTTATGCATCTGGTAGAGTACTGTCAAATAAGAAAGTAGAGTGAATGAAAATAAATGAGTAGAAGAAATAATCCCTGGGCAAGAAATGAGGAATCATCAATATATGTCAACAAATTTATAGTCAATCCAACCAAGTAAACCAATTGATTGAAAACCTGAATACATAACCACTTCTAGTAATATAATAGGCATATTTTAGAAATGAAATTTAAGTATATTAAGATGAGTAGAAACACAGAAATCTAATATCCCAACAAAACAAATATATAGGCCATGCTGAATATTTGTGATCCTGATATGTATGCATAGATATTCAAGTAATAATAAAGCATTTAAAGATTTAAAATTATATAAAAATGATACGTTTATAGTCTTTGTGCTTCCTTATGTGGTTGATGATTTAGATAATCAATTTCTCTGTATAGTGTTTAAAAAGAGATTCAACGTGAGGGTTGTATTCTTTCTTCTAAGAGAGATAGTGACTATGGTGGAAACCTCTCATATTTCTGTTTAGAAACCTCATCAGTTTTCTGTTTAAATGTTTCAGATGGTTTGTTCTGAAAGAGATGCTGACCCTTTTAAGAAACATTGTCTGGTAAAATCTGAATTACTTACAGCAGAGCTAATTGAGGCTCATTGTCGGTCAACACTCCAGTCAAGAGTTACAGAAGAGGCTGTTGTAAAGCATCAAAAAAGCAAAACACATGGCCATCATTTGTGGTTGTTAAGTGCCATCAAGTTGGTTCGGAATCATAGAGACCCCATGTACAATATATGAAACATTTCCTGGTCCTGCCCCATCCTCACGATCATTGTTATGCGTGAGCCCATTGTTGCCGCCACTGTGTCAATCCGTCTAGTTGAGGGTCTCCTCCTTTCAGGCTGATCCTCTACTTTACAAAACATGATACCCTTCTCCAGGGGATGGTTGCTTCTGACAACATGGGCAAAGCACATGAGACAAAGTCTAGCCATTCTCACTTCTAAAGATCATTCCAACTGTACTTCCTCCAGACAGATTTGTTCGTTCTTCTAGCAGTCTGTGGAATTTTCAATATTTTTCACAAACACCCCAATTCAAATGCATCAATTCTTTTTTTGTCTTCCTTATTTATCGTCCTGCTTTCACATGCATATGAGGCTGTTAAAAATACCATGGAGTGAGTTAGACACACTATAGTCTTCAATGTGATATCTTTGTTTCTTTACAACTTTAGAATGGTCTGTGGCAGCAGATTTTCCCAGCATAGCACATTGTTTTATGTCCTGACTGCTGCTTCCATGGATATTGATTGTGGATCCAAGTAAAATGAAATCCTTGACAACTTCAATCTTTTCTTCATTTATCGTGATTTTGCTTACTGGTCCAGTTGTGAGGATTTTTTTGTTTTGTTTTGTTTCTTCATGTTGAGGTATAATCCATATCGAAGGCTTTAATCTTTAATCTTCATCAGTAAGTGCTTCAAGTCTTTTTCACTTTTCAGCAAGCAGAGTTGTGTCATCTGCCTATCACAAGATGTTAATGAATCTTCCTGCAATCCTAATCCCACATTCCTCTTCATATAGTCCAGCTTCTCAGATTATTTGCCCAGAGTACAGATTGAATAAGTATGGTGAAAGGATACAACCCTGATGCACATCTTTCCTGATTCAAACCATTCAGTATCCCCTTGTTTTGTTTGAATGGCTGCCTCTTGTTCTATGACCAAGTTCCTCTTGAGGACAATGAACTGTTCTGGAATTCTCATTCTTTGCAATGTTATCCACAGTTTGTGATGATCCACACAGTCAAATGCCTTTGCATAGTCCATAAAACACAGGTAAACATTTCTGGTTTTCTTTGCTTTCAGCCAAGATCCACCTGACATTAGCATTGAGATTCCTTGTTTCATGTTCTCTTCTGAATTTGGATTGCATTTCTGGCAGTTCCCTGTCAATACATTGTTACAACTGTTTTTGAATAATTTTCAGCAAAATTTTACTTGCATGCAATATTAATGATATTGTTTGATAATTTCTACATTCTGTTGGATGACCATTCTTTGGAATGGGCATAGATGTGGATCTCTTCCAGTCATTTGGCCAGATAGCTGTCTTCCAAATTTCTTGGCATAAACAAGTGAGCATCTTCAGTTAACTCATAGTCATGGAAAAGCAGACTGTCACATCTATCTACCTTGGAGTGGCTGGTGGGTTCAAACCTTTGATATTTTACCTAGCAGCCAAGCACTGTAACCACTGTGCCACCAGGGCTCTTTGCTCCAAAGCACAATTGTTTTTATCGCATATTGTTTTTATCCTGGTGCTTTTAGGGAAAGAGGCAGGAGAAGTTAGAGAGAAAGAAGATATGAGAAGTTCCTGGCTTACCACAAGTCAAGCAGGTTAAGTGGGTAGACAGAGGGCAGAGCCAGGCATAGTAGTTAAAAGATTTAAATCAATGTAGCCCAGAGTGGGGTATG